CGGCAAACTGGAAAATTCGCGGTTTCGCACATCGACTTATAAAAAAGCAATTTCCAGAATAACATCACACGAAATAATTAGATCACGGGTTGGAATCGGTGAGGAAATGTCGGCTCAAGAATGTGTCGACATTCGTAAAAATTAAAGAGTACTATTGATGTATGTTTATATTTTTCTCAATTTTCATACCAAATTTATTCAGTGCATTAAAATGTTCAAGCACATCAACTACTGGACAGGCCTGCGCCTTCGATGCAAATCATGCTTTGGTAATTCAGTTTCTCTTTAAGAAAAAAAAAACAGTTTTGAACTGTTTGGCGCACAACCTCTCAGCTCACCATATTGGATTTGTAACACTCAATTTTATATCAAATATCAAGCATACTGATGCGGCATTAGAGAAAACATCTCGTAAAATACAATGACATTTAACCAGGCTCCTCTTTCTTCAAACATCGCAAAGTCAACATCTTTGCTGTCAAACAAGTCTTGTGATGTGTGTTCTCTACTGACACCGGAGATGGTGCACATGTTTGCAGAGACAGTCCATTATTTTCGGTCTATATACACAAACCTACTGACGATTTATGGTGGGATATCTGTTGAGCCCTCAATTAACGACGGATCAGGAAACCGGCCGTATAATAACAACCATTGCTACGGGCGACGAGTCACAGGCAAAGCAATGTTTGCGGGAGAAAAATATTCTCCGTTGCCGAGTTTTGCCATATGGTGAAGTTATCCAAACACGCGAGCATGTGTAACCCAGCCTGTTTGTCGTGACATAAACATGAAGGGAGAGTTCAGTGTTCACGTCTGGATGAAGCTGAGATGATGGGCCGCTCACGAGCTGGGGATAGTCAGGAAATTAACGTCTGAAAAGAAAAACAAGACTGACGGATGGCGATGGGTTTTCTGCTCTGTGTTGTATATAGGTTGAGTAAAAGGGCCGACAAGATTATGAATTCAAAACATTATTGCATCTAGGTGCACATCCTGTAACTATGGCCAACTTTGGAGCGCATCCACAATGTTGGCGTGGTGTCCTGTACTATAGAATGACAAGTTTCTTCACAATTAGCATTTCGACAGCATGGTATTTGCGAAGGATACCGCAGAGTCTCAGGGGCTAGATTTATGGGGGTTTTGGTGCTGTTTTTGTTGCATTTTGGTGTAATTTGTAATTTCGTACACAACACACTTCCAGTGCTCATTTTTCTTCACATACAAATTATAATTAGACCTGACTTCTACCGCTTGATGCACGCATGTATCAAATTTACGACCGACTTCCCACATGAATGCCTTGCCGCGTTTCCACGGCAACCATTCCCCACACGATCCGTCTGTTTTCACCTTTGATAAGATAACCAACAAAAAAATAGCTGCATTGCCAATTTCTTTTCCCCAGCAAATTATTTTTTTGTCATTCACATCCCTCTCTGGATCTCGAATGACTTTAATCCCGCCGGTGCGTTATTGGATGGCCTGCATGCGATCTATTCAACTGAAAAGGGGCTCTGCGAGTTTTTGTCCGCGCCAACAAAAGACGAAAACGAGCGAGAAGCTGGCGATCTAATCGAAATGTCTCCGATGACAATGAAGGCGCGTCTACTACCTGCGACTCGAATAATGTGTGGAATTGTGCGGGGATCTACTGGCACCTGCAACAGAAGTGCTGCGCGCATTATCAAGATACTTAAACTGATCACATTCTCCATATGAAACACCTGTTTTAAATCGATTGACAAACGACAAAACAAGTTCCCATTTGAAAACGGTTTATACCCCACACTGCAGAAAAAAACAATGCAAAAACAATGGGCTCCCAATTGAAAAGTTGCTACTTTGCCTATAGCCTATTACTTAATAGTCTAACATAAAATTCGAAGAAATAGGAATTTACTGTCAATAAGCGAAGGCTCACAGATAGGCTACACTAAAACTACGTGCCTTGGCACAGATGCCAGAAATTCCTATTTTGATTGAGTTGCAGTGGACGTTATATTAAGAAAGGTATGCACCCAGCCCGCCATTGTGGTTACTGTCTATATTCTTACAGCGTCTACAAGTGGTTAAGCCTAAACAACAAATATTCAGATATCCTCATCTCCACTGAATTCAAAAGGTGTTCTGTTGAGTGTGGCATAAACTTCCAATAGTCTAGACCATACTTTAAAAAAAGAGCTCGTTTTAAGGCGAGAAGATGCATTTTTTTTTCAGTATAAGTTGGTCTACATATATATATTTTACCTAATTTGGGGGTGCTGAATATGATTAATACTAAGCTGATTTCTTAGATTAAAGGGGTATTATCGTGAAGATAAAATGTTCTGTCTCCAATATATCAGAAATACCAATAGCATTAATAAAAGTATAATGCCGAATTTTGCTCTGTTTCTCTTGTCAACAAAATTACTTTCATTAAAAGTAACCGAACACTTTAGGCAAATGTGTAGGCCTATGATGTACTTCCCCTTATAGGCCTACAAAAATGTCAATATTAAACTATGTTGTCAAATCTTAAATAAGTTCACAAAGTGGTTCTCTTCTTACAGCACTATACCTCGGGGCTTGCCAAAAAAAGATGTCCAATTTCGAAACTAAACAAATTACTTTCAGTAAAAGTAACCGAACACTTTAGGCAAAATGTGTAGGCCTATAATGTACTTCCCCATATAGGCCTAGGCCTACAAAAATGTCAATATTAAACTATGTTGTCAAATCTTAAATAAGTTCACAAAATGGTTCCCTTCTTACAGCACTATACCTCGGGGCTTGCAAAAAAAAAAGTTCAAATTCGAAAAGAAACATACTGTGGCTCATGAAAATAGCCTCTGACGTGTAGCTAGGTGTGTGAGCCAGAGCCGGCTGCTGCACGGCGCAACATGTCGTAATTCATTGGCACAATCGGAATTTATGGTCGTAAATATCCAGCGTGAATGCTCGCTTTGTTACAATTATTATGCTGTACACAAAGGCACCTCTGCTTGACTAAAAAGCCATATTTTGCTGACTGTTTTCTTTACAGTAACTATCACTCAAAAGGCTCATAAGTCGCCTTGTTTTTTCACTGTCTCGCTTCAAATGGCTATTCCTGCTGTGTATTTAAAACGAGAATAAAATGACTGGACATTTTCTCGACCTTCCATTGCTGTTGTCAGTCATTGGTAATATGTTTGTTCTCATTCAGTAATGTTGTTACTATTATCTTTTTAACGCTTGGTATGCAAAAATTACTTGCTGATGTCAATATATATCTTGAAATTAACTTCCGGGATTCAAAGGTTGGTGTCCGGAAATTGGGCATAAAATAGGCAAGCCGTGTCCTTAAGAGTTGCACATATTAACCAAAAATGTCACAGAAGTCTCAAAGTTCAGCTGAATTTCCATTTTAGTTAGCCTGCAACGCAGCGTACTTACGTTATACTTCGGTGACTGGTGTAAATTAAGATGTTCTACTGGCAACGGAACCCTTTGAGGCACTTTTTTTGTGTCGAACAGCAAATTTTACCGCCTGCTCGTCATTTTTTCACACTGCGGTTCTTCACGTTGTTAGGCAGTTATGCGCATGCCCGGAGTTGCTGCTGCCACCAAGTGTCGTAACCTTTCCCCTTTGTTTTATTTTAATGTAATTGGCAACCCGCAGAGTACAACATGGTTGACACATTAATGTTTTATTTGAAGATGTCGGCTGATTCTCTTCAAGGTAACATCAACATTCTTGAACGCGGGGTTTCATAATCCTAGGTCCCGACAGCATACCTAAATAATTGCCCCATTAAAAATATTATTTTAAAGGTGAGGTATCACCCACGCCTTGCCGTATATTATAAGACATCAGTGACTATAGTAATAACATAAAAAAATGTTGAAAATTATTTTCGGCACAAACTGGCACTATGGCTTGAAAATGTTGTGAGGAAAATACATAAACAAAATAATCTTCAGTGAGAAGTTCAAAACAATGCCTGCATATATAGCCTAGGGCTGGGAATTTCTAATCACAAAGCTGTATAAGATCTAAAACTAAGGTTCACCCAAACATTTTCGATGGGATAAAATGATATGTTACTGCTCGTGGCATTCTCACGTCTTTACTTTCAATGTCATAAAGTATATAAGTATACGCCTTTTGTTAAAAAAATAATTTCTTAGCAACAGCTAGTCATACCCGCTGAATTCGTAAACATGTTTTATCGCTAATCATGTCAATTGAAATTCCTGTTCGTACACCCGAGTTACCAATAATCTTTTGCCTTTATTCGGAACCGAACTCTTCGACATCCTATGTACAAAATGTAGTCTAGCAAAATGATTTCAAGGCAAGACCTCTAATAACGGAGACAGATTTTTGGTATTTACTTCTTTACCTCCAGTAGGCCTATGCCTCAGGATGTGAGGCCTACAGTTATATTACTTCGGTTGATTGCAAAATTTTAACGACATGATCATTTTGCAATTATCCCAAAAGTAACCTACCGAATTATTATCAAAAAGATCAAAACTTGGATTAAAGATCGTGCTGGTACTATAAATAGCCCGTTAATTTATTCCGTCTGGCTTCAAAATACGATCATGCAGCCAATTCAGTGTTTTTTGGAAATAAACAGTGCTATTGACGATTTCCTGATCAAAAGGTTGTGTATGGTTTTTCACTATTTTTTCAAATCGTGTTATATCCACTGAGCTGAAACTTCAACTGATTAGGTTTTGAACATTCTTCTTTGGATTTCGAGTGGTGTTACTATATTGGAAATGAACAAAATGCATGAAAAGCAAATGATCCCATTTGCTTTCGGGCCTATGCATCTCAGTCAATGGGTAAACACACGATATATTTAGCTAAAAGTATAATGAATTGCCATCAGACGATGGGTTTGCATCTATAGGCCTTTTTAACTAAAAGAGGTTAATCTTATTGTTTCGAGTACATGCACTTTCGCTTCACGGTTCGCCGCAGTAAAACCTTATGAAATATTACTGTATTTTAGACTTACCTTGAAGCCGCCTAATGGGTCCTAAAAGCTCTGCACTAGTGGCTTTGTCACGGTTGACGGAGCGTCGAAATGTGACTGCGGCAGGAAAGGAGGCTCGGCACTTCTGTTAAAAGCTAGCGGACTTCAGTCAAAACGTGCATTGGTGAATGAATAGCATGCAGTTTCTCGTTTTGAAATCACATCCAATCAAACGGATTAATCTGGATTGTAATTCGTGGTTTTGGGTCTTGGTAGCTGAAAGGGATCTCGCTTTAAATAGCTTCAAAGTGTGTTTGGATTAGGTTTATTTATGATTCACCAAGCCTGTGTATGATCACGACAATTGCCGACCGGCTTTTAAAAAAAAAAGGGCCCGAGGAAAAATCTCACTAATATGCAGCTTTGTCCGCGGACTCTTGAAAAACGAGACGAGGTTGCTCCAGATCTGCGCCCCAAATCTCGGCCAATCGCTCGGTCTGCGAGCTCGAGTCCCTTCGAGCTTTCCACCCCTCGTTCCACGACGCCACACTATACCTAATCAGAAAGTGTGGTCACGAACAACCTTCGCAAAAAAAACGGTTCCTACCACAGGCAAGGCATGCAACCTCCCTAGTATATGAACACGCACAACTATACAACCACTCACGACATACCGCACGCGAATCAAAACGCACCGAATCGATGACGTCATATTGATTTTTTTTTGGCGGCACTATTTTGACGCCTGCGGCGGCAACGGAAGTCGTAGCCTTCGGGCGAGTCGCGGCAATAGTTTCGCCCCGCAAAATAGCCGGGAAATTTGGCGAAGGATTTGTTTTTATGGGAGACCTTCGCATTCATTAAGTAACGTACATCCACATCGGCTCAACAGTAATTTGTAATTGCTTTCACATCCTGTTAGTACAAATTGGATAATGGCGATAAATTAATTGGAAATTTCTCAACATCGGCCGAGTGTGGAGTTCAACCATCAACTTGAATGGGACATTGGAACAAAGTGGGCGTGAGAGAAAATTATGAGGCAATGAAAAAGAAATTATCCGCAAAAATACATGGCCTACTGAATAATTTTTACTACCGCAACTGATTTGCATGATCTAGATGTCACATGAATATTTATAACTGGCCGCTACGGACTTGCCAGAGGTTGCATGACTGTTTATAAACTAAATGCAGCCGATTGGCTAGAGGTCTTCATGAATATTCATCACTAACTTCCACTGATTGCCGAACAATGAATATTATATGAACAATGAATATTCACAATGTATGGACCCAAAGTCCTAACATAAATATTTATAACTAACCACATTCAATCGGCAAGTGGTAATTTCGTGAATATTTATAACCACTGGCCAGTGCAGTGTATGGTCATAATGAGTAACCACAACCCGGTGATTGGCCAGATGATATATCATGAATATGTATAACTATTTAACCACAACTGATTGGCCACAGGTCACCATGAATATGTATAACTAACCACAACTGATTGGCCAGAGGTCGCCTGCAGGAATATTTATAACAAATGATTGGTTGGAGGACTCTTTAAAAGTTATAATCACACCACTTTAAAAAAAAAATAGAGAAAATTCCACCCTCACAGGCTTTCGTTCGTGCGTGTGGTCCCCAACTTATTCAAATTTGGTACTTTAAACAGGCAAGACTACTCGATTGATTAATTAATCCCCTTTCTTCACTTTCGGTTCAAGTTTTGTTAGGAGATTTTTCCCTTTAAAGTTGACCACCCCTGGAAAGCAGTCCAGCAGTCCATCGCCTTTTTGAAAACGATCCATCCACTCCATTGCAAAATAAAGCGGCTCTCGGGTCCATGTTCACCTTAAATTTCCTCAGAAATACAAGTTCAAAGCTAGTGAAGAACAGGGATCCTTCATATCTACAAACCCCGAAGGGAAGGAACCACAAAGGTCTCTATAAAGATAAAACATTGCCAGTGTACAAGTCGTGATTTGGCCGGCGTAGACAAATTTGGGCTTATTTACTGGTCTGCACCCCACAAGGCACGCACTTGTTTTCAACCTTGGCAGTATCGACGCGATATCGAGCTACCACTTGGCCGTGTTGGAGATAAAGAACGTCGTTTTATCGAGCCGCGCCGGCTAGCAAAGAAAAGCTGGTGCTAGACTGGGTTCCGGCGCAGGTGGTGCCCGCTGATGGAAAAAGTCGGATCACGGGAGCAAAAATCGAGGGTTGGGGAAGGGGTCGTGCGCATGAAGCTTGCAAACGTTAAGGGATGGGCGTACGTACGTTATTGCCCGACTGCAGTGGGCGTGGCTTACAGGATCACACTATTGGGTCATAAAGGGCGCAGGAAAACGGTTTTGTGCAGTTGCTGCCAGAGTGCAGTGGGCGTGGCTTAATAGATCAGACTACTGGGTCATTCAATAGGTAAACTAAATGGCAAACGAAAACAGCATTAGCCCGATTTCCCGCTAATCTATGAAAGCAAAAGTTGAAAATGTTGAGAGCAAATTGCCTGATAATCCTTTAGCGATTTGCACAATTCATCCCAGCTCGCAGGCACTGCACTCTATCTTAGTCTTTAAGGCAAGTAATGTTCAGATTTAGTTTCAGTTCGTGAACGCCGTCTACGAGCAGGCAATGCGCAAGCAAAGTCAATATTGAAACACCCTTTCGGCCGTAATCAGCAGATGATGTGTTTTCTTTTGTCTTAGTGGGACAACAAAGTGGCGCGCAGGGGTTACACCCAGAGGGCTTCAGCCCGTCCGTGGAGAGCCAATTTTATTTATCCAGCCCGCATGGTCTCCAAAAAAATGACTACACTTCAGGTTGTTTATACGCTACCTGAGAAATTGCCATAGACCCAAATGATAAATGCACTCACTTAAAAAAATCTGGATAATTACTCACAACTCACCAAGGTGTTCGACACACATCAAATTAAAGCTTATTTCACCATCTTGCAGTTTCTGTAAAATTATTGGAGGTTAACCAATGCTTTTGGGGGAAATGTTACTTCAAAGATGATCACCCCTAGAAGTAGTCATGTGGTCCGTCGCCATTTTGAAATGATCCCTCATTCCATTGGAAAATAGAGCAATTCCAGGGCCTTTTTTCATCCAAATTTCACAGAGGTACAAGCTAAAATTCCAGGGCAGAACCTCTGTCCCGAGTCAGCTTTAAAAAGCCCCAACTGCATGGGCCACAAATGCGTCTTATAACAGATAATTTGAGGGTATGCAAATTGTGACTTGGGGTATATTTACTGACCAACAACCTTAAATCTTTCTGTAAATTCAAACAGTTTGTAAATGTTTTTGTTTTTTATTCTTATTTTTTACTCATTAATATTTTGATTTGATTGCTACCTTTACTTTAGCACTTCTTGCATATATAATATACGTCAAAAAATTTATAGATTTTGTTTTTACTGTTTTAATTACTCATAAATATTAATGTTTTACATTACCCGTTATTTTGAATTCATCTTCAAAAGATTTGAATGATTGTAAAGTTAAACAAAATACAAAAAAAAAAACATGCAAAGCTAGGCTTTTATACAGTAATTGTCATACCATTATTCAAAGGTATTGGATGCTTGCGTTATCAAATTTCTAAATATGCCGGTCATAAGCATGAATATACGACTCCATGAAATATGGACTCTTTGGTAGTATTGCATATGCGTAAGTATGATAATTAGGAGAGAGTGACTGGTCATGTGCGAAGGATTAACCAATAATAGGGAAAATGGGTCCTATTTTCATAGGATTTTCATATGACACCAACTCATGAAACTAATTAGGCTTGATTGACTTGTAACTTCTAACAATATGGTGAACATAACCATGTTTTGTTTTACCTCAGGGGCAGATCTATCTTTCAAAATGGGGGGGGGGGGGGTTAGTGGCGGTGCTGGTGATATGGGGGGGGGTTCGATATGAAGGGGGATTGAGTCAAGGCTGGCGGGGGTTGTCCTGGGCATGCCCCCCCCCCCCCCCCCCCCCCCCCCCCCCCCCCCCCCTCCCCCCCCCTTTACTTTAACATGAGATATTGACTGAAAAAAATTGGCCAATGTTAAGATATTGCCTGACTTCAAAATTTTGAATACTTAGCTGCCAGACAATAGTTCTTTTCTCGCAGGGTAGGCTGGTTCCCGCCCCACATTCAGTAATGATAATGTATGGACTAGGAGCCAGTCTGCTTGCAAAGCAGATCTGTTTGAGCCCAAAACAAAAATCCCTTTTCAGAGGATTGTAAATGTCAAAAAAAGGAAAACGTAAGTGGTTTGTTTGGTTGGAATAAAACTTAAAAGTTGAAAATTGGGCAAGGTGGGAATGTAACTTTAAAGTAGCCTAATATTGGTAAAAACTTATATATTTCAAATCCACCCAAAATTGATGATTATTCAAATCATGACAAATAGAATGAAATTCATGAAAAAATAATACCTTCAGCCTCATTTTTAAAGTGCTTTATTATCCTCCATGTCCTTTTTTAGTTTAGCCAGTGCCACAAGTCTGGCATCCCGCCACCCGCGCATCTCTTGCAGTTTGTCCAATGGATAGTGGGCGTCGTTGTCTTGCACAATGGCGTCGTACACCGGTCCGGTGAAAGCTGGCGGAGGTCCAAATGTCGACGACACGCGCTGTATGGTGGAGCCGTAGCGCTCTAGATAGCTGGCAATACCTTGATGAAATATATAAAATGTTTTATTTCCATAAATATATCAGGTATTTACCATATCTAGAGGAAACTAACTTGCGGGGGGAGGGCAATCATCCTCACTCGTCGCAGCGAAGGACGCAGCTACAATTGGTTGAGCCGAAGGCATGTACCACTCCCATATAAAACCTGTCCTTTTGGATCTTCACTGGCTCCCAATATCGTCTAGAATCATCTACAAACTGATGCTCATTGTCTTCAAAGCACTTAATGGGCAAGCACCTGCGTACATCCTGGACATGCTCAATATATACAAACCATCTCGCAACCTTCGATCTGGAAATAAATATCTTCTTCAAGAAGTCAAATCTCATCGTACCTGGGGGGACAGATCTTTCTCTGTTGCAGCACCACATCTCTGGAGTCAACTACCTCTTCATATCAAAACCTCCACTTCTATTCACTCATTCAAAACATCTCTCAAAACACACCTCATGTCGAAAGATCCGTTTTTTTGTAATTAAACTGATTTTGTTTTGTTTCGTTTTCATTGTAATAGTGCCCTGAGCACCTTGGTGGATATGTGCGCTTTATAAAACTTCGTTATTATTATTATTACCAGCATCTTATGCAGCTGTAATACAAGCCATGTCTTACCATGAAACACAACCAGATCGAAAATGTTGATTTTTTTGCGGAGGGAGGAAAACCGGAAACCTGGAGAAAAACCCTTTTGGCACAGGAGAGAATCAACGAACAAGTCTACTCACATATGACCCCAGCCGGGAATCAAACCCGGGCCACAGGGGTAAGAGGTGAGTGCTTTACGCCCTAGCCACCCACGCCACCCTAAAATCACATCAGTCGAGGTATAAGAACAAGACTGGTGCTGTTCCAATCTTGTAATTTGTACTAGCCTTAAATTAAGGTTAATAAAATGACATTTAGAGGAGGCGTGGAGCGCTGTGGCCCAATGGTTACGGTGTTCGACTCGGTGCCGTGGTAATTGGTTCGAACCCTGACGGGGAATGTGATGCTTGTGTTCTTGGGCAAGACACTTTACTACGATTGCCTCTCTCCACCCAGGAGTATAAATGGGTATCTGAGAATAATAATAATAATAATAATTTGGGAGGCTAATCATCCTTACTGGCAGCTGGTATGCTGAATTGCGAAGGACGCGGCTACAACGTGGTCGGGCCGCTGGCACGTAAAGGCGCCTATGGCTGCCGGCCACATCAACCCATATATGACCACGGAGCACAGCCTGAGATCGAAAGTGTTTGATTTTTCCGGAGGGAGGAAAACCGGAGGGCCCGGAGAAAAACCCTTGTGGCACAGGAGAGAACCAATGCACAACTTTACTCACGTGTGATCCGCGGCCAGGCCAGGATCCGCGGCCAGAATTCGAACCGTGGTTACCTTGGTGAGAGGCGAGCGCTTTACGCACAAGCCACCCATGCCACCCTAAGAAGGTCAAGACTAGAATGCACTGATCTCGAACTGCTGTTAAAACTGGTCTCACGACATGAACAGGTGTAACTTGTGAAGCACTTTGAGACCTTCGTGGTATAAAGCACTATATAAGCACTACATTATTGTTATTATTATTTAGTAGTATTACCTTCTGCATTGAGATGTATGACTTCAAATGGACCGCAAAATGCATAACGCATCCCTAAACCGGCCGTGAAAACTTTGTCAACGTCTTCGGGTGACATCACTCCATCCTAATAAAAAAATGAGCATCAATGAGGAATTTAGTCCTTAGTCTTTCTCTTTTAGAAAATCAAACAACATCCAAAATTGTGGAAAATATTTCCAAATTTAGCAAAATTACGACAAGCACTACTCACAGCGACCAGCCTCCAGGCTTCGTTGACGATGGCAATCTGCATTCGGTTCAGAGCAAATCCGTAGATCTCTTTCTTCACTGTCACTGGTACTTGGCCCACTTCCTCCAGTAAAGTTCGGGTTCGAGACACGACCGACTGCTCGGTCCAGGGGCTAGGGATGATCTCAACAAGTGGGCAGTAGTATGGAGGGTTGGTCTGCAACAAATAAAAAAGAAAAGTCACGCCAAATCTCTGTTTGAGACATAATTCAGTCAGTTAGTTAGTCAGTCACTCATCAGCTTGTCAGCTAGTCAAATTGTTTGTTGTATTTCCGGGTAATTGCAAACGTCCCTACATGGCTTTAAACTTTTAACTCCTAGCAACTGACCGGGTGGGCCGCGATGAATTGGCTGCGTCGTTTGAGATGGGCAAAGAGTTTGGAAGGCTCAATGTAGGATACAGAGCTGCAGAGAACGGCCGCGTCGTCGGCGTACTGTTCCATCTCACTGAAGACTTTCTTCTTCAATTCTTCATTCTCTGGAACACATTCCTGTGAAGAAGCAAACTGGTATAAATTTTGAGGGTGGAGGTGGGGTGGAGTGGTGGAGGAGGGGAGGGGAATTGGGGAGAGGGGGTGGTAAGGATGCAGGGGGTAGTAAGGATGCAACAAATGTTAAGGATGCCGGAGGGTAAGGATGTGGGAGAGGGTTATGATGCGGGAGAGGTAAGGATGCGGGGGAGGGTAAGGATAGGAGAAAGGTTAAGGATGCCAGAGGGTAAGGATGCAGGGGAGGTTAAAGATGTAGGAGATGTAAGGTTGCGGGGAGGGCAAGGATGTGGGGAAGGCTAAGGATGCAGGGGATGTTAAGGATGCGGGGTGGGTAAGGATGCGGGGGGGGGGGGGGGGTAAGGTTGCAGGAGATGGTAAGGATGAGGGGGAAGGTAAGGATGCGAGGGAGGGTAAGGATGCAAGAGATGTTAAAGATGACGAAGGGTAAGGATGCAGGGGAGGGTAAGGATGCGAGGGAGGGTAAGGATGCGAGGGAGGGTAAGGATGCAAGAGATGTTAAAGATGACGAAGGGTAAGGATGCAGGGGAGGGTAAGGATACGGGGAGGGTAAGGATGTGGGGGAGGGTAGGGATGCAGGGAGGGTAAGGATGCGGGGAGGGTAAGGATGCCGTGAGGGTAAGGATGAGGGGGAGGGTAAGGATGCAGGGGAGGGTAAGGTTGCAGGGGAGGGTAAGGATGCGGAGGAGGCTAAGGATGCGGGGGAGGGTAAGGATGCGGGGGAGGTTAAGGATGCGGGGAGGTTAAGGATGCGGGGAGGGTAAGGATGCGGGGGAGGGTAAGGATACGAGGGAGGGTAAGGATGCGGGGGAGGCTAAGGATGCGGGGGAGGGTAAGGATGAGGGGGAGGGTAAGGATGCGGGGGAGGTTAAGGATGAGGGGGAGGGTAAGGATGCGGGGGAGGGTAAGGATGCGGGGGAGGTTAAGGATGAGGGGGAGGGTAAGGATGCGGGGGAGGTTAAGGATGCGGGGGAGGCTAAGGATGCGGGGGAGGGTAAGGATGAGGGGGAGGGTAAGGATGCGGGGAGGGTAAGGATGCGGGGGAAGGGTAGGGGAGGGGGGAGGGTGAGGATGTGGGGGAGGCTAAGGATGGGAAGTAAGGATGAGGAAGGCTGTGGGGAGGGTGATGTGTGTTTAGGTGGGGATGGGGATGGGGGTTGGGGTTGGGATGGGGGGGGGGGGTAATCTACTACCAAGACTAATGAAAAACTTTGTTTTGCAACTGAAGCTCTAAATACCGACTGGGGTATTGGGTGGAGTTGAGGTGGGGTTCGGGGTGATGGTTGGGAGGGGGAGGGTGAGGGGTGGGGGGTGGGGGGTGGGGGTGGGGGTGGGGGTGGGGGTGGGGCATTGGAGGGGGTTGGGGTGTCTTCACCCCCTCCTCTGATTCATCAACGCTGAACCATACCTGTACATGAAAGGCACCGGTGACGGCCTCTTTCATGTCGCTGGTCACGCTGATTAGCGCCCTCTGTTGTTCAGCTGTCAGCGCGCCCCTCAGCGTTCCGGATTTCTGGAGTTCGGCGAGCTGGTTGGTGATGTCTGCCATAGCGCCAGTCAGCTGGGGAAATTAATGGGACCTTTGGCATTTTGACACTGTAGTGTAATGCATGAAATTTTCGGAGGGGGAGGGGGCAAAAATGAAAAATGTGAATTTAGTCCATGGAAAATGAAAAAGATAAACAAGATGAAAAAAAAATGTGCAACAGCGGCCGATAACAGGGAAAATGGTGTTCAGGTGGTACTCTGACATCACACGGTCAGAACTCATTGAGTTTGTTTAATCATTGAACAAAACAAATTAAACATATGAATGAAGATCATTTTTCATGATAAACTTACCTGCGACTCTTTGATGTCAAACATTGTGACGTTGTAACCGGCGCTGGCAAATATCATGGCCCAACTTCGTCCAATCAGACCACTGCAACCAATAACATAGTCATAGAGGTAGGCCTAACAACTTGAAAAGATGCGACAGCTCCTTTGGACCATTGCCAGCAAAAGAGTCGAGAAAATGGGGAAAAAACAGAGAACCACCTCCTTCATTTTTTTCCCCTGGATGAGAAACTTTTTTTTTTTCATCCGGCAGTTCTCACAATTACAAAAATTTGTGAAACATGTCACAGTGACAGACACTTAACTTTACCTCCGAGGCTCCGGCAATATATCCACTAGGCTATCTTTTTATTAACGCAGTGGCTATTGTTACGGCAGCCGTAACGCATTTCCCATTTTCTATCGTTACGGTAGACTGCAACCTGGCAACTTTTATAAAAAAACATGACAAGAAAATATAAAATTAGAAGGAAAAAAGTGAATTTGAACTTTATGAAATTCGGACTTTTTTTCCCTTTTAAAAAAAATCCTCCAAAGCCTCAGGTTAGAAAAGGAAAAAAATTCGAGTGCAAAACTGAGATTCGAACCCGCAACCTCGCGGTGCAAAATCCTACACTCTATCGGCTAAGCTGGCGCACTGCTCGATAAATCGGGGGGAAACAAATAATTATATACCTGCGTGCGTATCAAAAAAATATCGTAGAGGGCGCTAAACAACGAGTGCCGTAACGATAGCCACTTCGTTTTATTAATTTTTGGCAAAACAAAACAATCTCCACAAACCTTCCAATGATTCCAATCTTTCCTTTTCCTTGTGATGTTGCCGGCTGTGAAGATGCCATTTTGGAGCTCTTTGTTTTCACTAAAAATGCACTTTTCACTAAGCTCGCGTAGAAATTCTCACTACGATTATATAACTACAATACACACCAAACCACCGGGCCCCCAGACTGGCTCCGCCCAGTATCTTTGATTTAATGGACATCCACAAGTACCCCCTCAACGGTCACAAAAAGTGTGACAAAAAGTACGATCTTCCCATCATGCATTGAGAAATCCCAAATCCCAATTTTGTTTTCAATAGGATTTGGGAAATGCTATCCGAATTCCCATTTTGCTGTCGAGTAGGGAGGGGGGAATCGTTATTCGTTTTCCGTTATGCTGTCGAATGGGGCCCGGGGAAGTGGGAATCGCTATTCGTTTTCCGTTTTGCTGTCGAATAGAAAAATGGGAATCGCTATTCGTTTTCCGTTTTGCTTGACACACCGCACGAGGATAGATTTAACACCGTTAATTGTGAAGAGCGCCACCTGTTGTTTGATTAAATTTTGATGTCAACAATAACATGTGCGCTGGCTGAATTTTGGTTTGCCCATGGACCTACGCTACGCCGGCCGGGAAAGTTTTGCTTAAATGATAACTAGTAACTAGTATAAAACTAGACGGTAGACACCTTGGAAAGAATGTTGCGTTCTGGCGCCACTTGTTTTCATCATTATCAGTGAAGGTCAGTCATTGCAAAAAAGTTATATGATGAATCTGGGACTGTCTGTGTACTTATATAATGTTGAGAAACGCCACTGACTGTCAACTTTGTAAACAAGTCAACGAAGGTCAAAGCGTAAACAACAAAATTTTAAAATAAACTCTTGAGCTTCCAAAAAAACAAACAACGCCATGGCATCATCATTATGTATATACAATAATAGACTCTTATTTTGTAGGTAATGTAAAAAATTATTAGGGGAATTCGCTTTTACTTTCACAATCCCACAAGTAATTACTTTTTGGCAAAGCCGGCGCCAACTTTCTTTAACTAGGCCTAGGGCCTTAGTAAAATTCATCTCGGCAAAACTACACCCATACTTCATAGCAAAATTAATTAGCTTAAAATTTTACTGCCCAAAATCTCACACAAATAGTCTGCTGCCTTCATAGCACTGCTTCCGTTTGTTATATTGCCTAATTTATCCCACACTAGTATCTCTTGCCCTTGGTCCCCCATTTTCGTCGGTCCGAAAATAAATTAATACTTCCAGCTGGTTTAGAAATAATCTCCAAAGGTAAGTTTCAAAGGCGCTCAAAAACATGAATAGATGAAAATGGGTGGGGAGGGGGACCGGGGTTGAGCGCTTCAGACATTATAAGATATACAAAATGTATGTTAATCATTTCAAGACTTTATTAGAAGTTTACCAACATATATTCGTTTTCTTTTTTCGTAATTTTATATTTTGAGTAAAGAAATATTACCACTCTGAACAAGGGGCAACTTGGCCATGTTACAAACAATGCAAACCTTTTATCTGCAAATTTACAATTTCCTGTGATGGGAACCCTAAGCCCATAAAAGATAAAGCATCATTTATTTCTTTGATAAAATTTGTCAACCCTGAAAAGTAAAATTGAACGAGGAAAATTATTCACTAATTAAAATAAACCAAATGCACCCGCAAGTAATATTCATAATTTCATATCTAAAGATCTATCTATAATTGCTATTATTTGGATTATCAAGACTAAGTTAATTTCCCTGAATAAAATTCTATTATATTCAGCCTGCAAGAATTGAAACAAAAATACAAATTTTTACACAGATTACAAAAAATAAGGTTTGATTTGCCTTCTCTTGAAATTGTCCAATTTTCAAGTAAAGTACAAATGAAAATGTCAAAAATTATGCAAATTTATGCAAATTCAGTTATGAATCCACAACCTACCTTTAAGCATAATTTATCTTTAACAAAAGTGGTATAACCTAACGAGGTGATATGGTCATTTTATATTCGGTAAAAAAATCACTAATTTCAAAATCAAAATCCCTGAAACTCAGTACATCATTTTGAAATGTTTGTCATTTCTAAATTTGGTATTATCATAGCGGCTTTTGAGACTCCAAATCTTTTTTAAGTTTAGCCAGTGCCACAAGTCTGGTATCCCGCCACTGACGTATCTCTTGTAGTTTGTCCAGTGGATAGTTTGCGTCGTTGTCTTGCACGATGGTATCGAACGCCGGTCCGGTGAAAGTAGGCGACGGTCCAAACGTCGACGACACGCGCTGAATGGTCGACCCGTACCGTTCTAAATAGCTTGCAGTACCTTGAATGCAAAACAGAATAAAATGGCATCATAATTCTCTTGGCATTTTAAACCTTGAAAATTCATTGAATCCATTGGTGCATTCTCTGTTCATGAAGGCATCTGGGATCATTAGCTTTTCAAGCATTTTGTTCATTTCTAATAATGAAATAACAGCACTAGTCAAAATCGAAAGAAGCCGGAATGTTCAAAACCTAACCTGTTAAAGTTTCAGCTCAGTTGATATTACACTCTTTATAAGAAGACAGTGGAAACTATGAAAAAAAAACCTTGTGATCCTTTAACACAATGTTACCAATAACACTCTTTATTTCCAAAAATCAGTCAATTGACTGATCGTTGGAAATCACCTTCATTTCTTGATTTCTTCTAAATGACAGCACGCCTGACGGAATAATTCTACGGGGTGTTTAGTACCAGTAGGATCTTTAATCCAAGTTAGCTTTCTGATAACAATTTGGTAGGTTACTTTTGGGATATTGCAAATGATCGTATGAGCCTTTAATGCAATAATTTACTTGAGCAACATCTGAGATGAAGACGAGTCGTTCCAAACGCAGGAGTTCATATTTTATAATCTTGTGCATGTGGTTGCCATGACATTAAACATGGACCTGAATTTCAACATTTGGTATAATTTAGTTTGGCGCGATTCTTAAAATTTAAAAGCCACTCCGAAATGTGTTACCTTCAGCATTGAGATGTATGACCTCGAACGGTCCGCAGAAAGCGTAGCGCATCCCTAAACCGGCGGTGAAAACTTTGTCCACGTCCTCTGCAGACATCACTCCATCCTACACAAGCAAAATAAAAATTCCACACACAAAACTTTTAAAAAGAAAACCCAAATTCTCATAAACTAAACCTGAACGTAAAAATAAACTGACATAGTGTATATTTATCAATGTGCACATGTTACTCTTCAGCTTGAAATTTCAGGATAATTTTGATTGATGAATATTTATGAGAAATCTACTAAAAGTCTATTTTGTTTATTGGTTAAAAAACATGGACTGAAGTAAAAACTCTGTTTTCAGGGAGCCCATATATTGATTCAAAAAGGTAATTCTTTTTTCTCAGGCGCGAGATGTGAAAATTGTTTCACTTACAGCTACCAGCCTCCATGCTTCATTGATGATGGCATATTGCAAACGATTCAGCGCAAAGCCATCAATCTCCTTCTTCACTGTCACCGGTACTTGGCCCACTCCTTCCAATAAAGTTCGGGTTCGCGACACGACCGACGGCTCGGTCCAGGGACTAGGGATGATCTCAACAAGAGGGCAATAGTAGGGAGGGTTGACCTACCCAAAAAAAAAAATCAAGTTTGTTGGAAAGTTGCAATCCGACTCAAAATCTTCTCAGCAATCCTGCAAACCAATGGGTTCGAGTCCAGCCCAAGGGGTTGCAGCTCGTGACCTTGGGCAAGACAGTTTGTCACAATTTCTTCTCCCAGCCTGGAGGACATAAGGGCAGATGGTTTTTGTGTTTCAATAGACCATTATGTAGCGTCCATCTTGATTTTTTCCCTTTCAAATCAACGTAACAGAAGCAAGGCTGGAAGGAAAAATGGTCTGGTTCCTCAGTCTGGTGTCATTCAGTACTGTTATTGAATACAGGGAACATGACTGAAATGGCGGCAGCATGATAAAGGTCTATAAGCCATTTGTGCCAATAATGGTAGCATTGAGCTGTATACTCCGAGAGAACTGAGATGGTCTCAGGAATGTTACACAAGCCCACTGAACATGGGTAATAATAGTGTTCAAATGTTTATGCCCTTCTTAAAAATAATTTACAATCATTTGTAATTATTTCAAGAGCCAACAAAACATTTTAGAATAAGGATCAAAGATTTTTTTAAAGGTCTAGAATTTTCGAAAGGGGTTTCAACACAAACGCTTTTTGTGTAATATATTAAAGAATTTGAGAACAGATTGAACCCCCTTGAACAACAACTTCCCTCCTGAATCAATTCTTGAATGACTACTACAAATGATCTTACAGGGTGGGCCACGATGCACTGGCTTCGTCGCTTGAGATGGTCGGTAAATTTGGACGGCACGATGCAAGAGGTTGAGCTACAGAGCACCGTTGAATCGTCAGCGTACTGCTCCATCTCGGAAAAGACTTTCCTCTTCAAGTCTTCGTTCTCGGGCACACATTCCTGTCGAGAAATTGAAAGTGGTTACTAACGGAACATTTTTTTTCCCAAGTTGGTCGGTTTGTTTGAGTCTTTGTCTGTTTCCTGACCTTTGAATTTATAGTGACCTGTGGTGTAGTTAACCATCACAAGTCCTCTAAAGTCCACGCATGTCCCAACAAGTCCTCACAAATCCTCACAAGTCTTTTAAGTCCTTACAAGTCCTCACAAGTTTGTTCAGTCCTCACAAGTTTGTTCAGTCCTCACAAGTCCCCACAAGTTCCCACAAGTCCTCACAAGTCTTTTAAGTCCTCCCAAGTCACCCCAAGTCCTCACACGTCCCCATATGTCCATCAGATGTTGTCCACACAAGTTGACCTTTGAATTTATAGTGACCAGTATTGTAGCTGAGTCCATCACAAGTCCTCACAATCCTCGCAAATATTTAAGTCTTCACAAGTCTTTACAAGTTTTTAAAGTCCTCACAAGTCCACACAATTTCTCAAGTCCTAACAAGTCCTCACAAGTCCCCACAAGTCCACACAATTCCCCACAAGTCCTCACAAGTCATCGCAAGTCCTGACAAAATCCACACAACTCTAACAAGTCCACCACAGGTCCTCACAAGACCACACTAGTCCACCACAAGTCCTCACAAGACCACACAAGTCCATTGCCAGTCCTCACAAGTCCTCACATATCCTAACAAGTCCATCACAAGCCCTCACAAGTCATCCAGTCCCAAGTCAAGTCACAAGCCATTCAAATGATGAACTGTGACACAAGGATTCCTTTGTTATTGTCCATTCTCTTATACTTGTGATCAGACTTGAGCATTGACTTACGGGTTACTTGTGACAGACCTGTAACAATCAGACTACCAAACTAATTGGTTCTTATTTAGGATGCAGATGAAAATCCTTTCCTTCCAACTTGAAAACAAGCACATGAGAAGTTAAGGAGTCTTTCTAGTTGGTCATCCTTGGGTTTTATATCCCACCTGTATATGCAGGGCACCAGTGATGGCCTCTTTCATGTCACTGGTCACACTGACTAGCGCCCTCTGTTGTTCAGGTGTCAGTGCACCCCTCAGCAGCCCAGATTTCTGGAGTTCCGCCAACTGTTTTTCAATGTCGACTAAGGCACCTGAAAGCTGAAAAAAATAGATGAAAAAGTTCAGAACAATTTTATACGCTGCTTTTCACAATGACAGTTTTCTTGTTAAAAAGTTTCGAAGTAGGCCCATAGGTCTTAAAGTCCAAAAAATATTTCTGACACAACAACGAATCACCCGCAAAATAACAAGAATGAAAATACATTTTTCAAACTTTTGGTGCTGAAATAGCTGCAACGTTCAAGTATCTGCCTGAAATGACATCACACTTTTGCTCATGAATATGGAAATTTAGCATAAAAACAAAAAGGCACCAAAATATCCTTGAAAATGGCAAAACGAAAATTGAAAAATTAGGTTAAATGGGACCCAAAGATGCATATACCACTGGCAAGGATAGCTTTAAAAAAATTACACTGCGTCATTGCATGGGCCCTAAACGGAGTGGGTGGGTGGGTGGGGGGGGGGGGGGGGTAGGGGGGAGGGGGGAATGGGTGGAGGGGGAAGAGTATGAGTGTAAACAAGTATTCAAATATTAGGGGGGGGGTAAAGAAAGGGTTGAAAAGTGACAGTGCTGACCTGCGATTGTTCAATGTCAAATATTGTGACATTGTATCCGGCGCTAATGAATATTAATGTCCAGCTCCGTCCAATCAGGCCACTGTCATCATATAAGGAAAGTAATTAAAACATTAAAACAGGTGATGTGTAGGGATGTAGTCAAGTCCATCACAAGTCCAGTCACAAATAAATCATAAGTTCAATCACAAGTCCAGTAACAGGTTACACTAAACGGAAGCTCATTTGAACAGCTTACGAGTTGAATTGGGACTGGAGGACTTGTGATGGACTTGCCTAGACTTGTATCAGTTGTGGTGGACTCCATCCCTGGTGACGGGTAAATTCTCCGTAAGTAGATAGTTGCGATTAAATGATTAAGACGTCCACTCGTGCAGATAGGCCCATAAAATATACGTGGCGTCAATAGTTGTTATTGACGCCAAGTTTACAGCTTTAGATGTCCGATTACTGAATGATGGATGAAAAGATTAATTTCGATAAGTGGATTCACAAACCTCCCAATGATTCCGATCTTCCCCTTGCCATACACAGGTATTGTGTTCGAGGATTCCATTTTCTTTTTACTGCAAAGAAAAGACAAAATCAGGCCTGCAAAATATCAAAAATTTACTGCAAATCGTGTCAGCATGGTCAGTGGGGATCATCATAATTATTATTGACGCAACCTATTAATGCAAACCTAGGGGTAACAACACACCCCCCCCCCCCACAACCCCGCCCTCTTCCTCCACAACCCCACCTCGGACTCCACGGCGCAGGGCGCCGGGCCCCTCCCCCGGACCGTCCCCCGGCCGGCCCCCTCCCCCCAAAAAACATGAACTCGACTCTCATACACCATGTAAACAACCAAAGTGTCGTCTGGATACTACATTCTTTCCAACTTGGCTGAGCTCAGAGAATATGAGAGCTTTCTCAGCACACTAAATTAGTGAAATTAGTAAACAAATTACATTGATCTGTTCATTAATAATCAGCCCGTTGGTTTGCGTGTGCGGCTTGTATTCATGGCATTAGATTTCAGCTGTCCGCATGTTGCCGTGTGCTTACAAATCTGCAATCATCGTAGTTGAAGTCAGGGTACCACGCTCACAATCCCGGAAGTTTGTGCAAGACCGGACTGAAGCTTGCCGCAAAGCGGTCCCCATTGATTGCCAGTTCAAAACGGGCCGCAAAGCTTTACAGGATCTGAAAAACTTGAACACATGTAACATAGGGAGTTCACAAATGTTCATTGCAAAATCATTTTGCAGAATTTTTTTTTTTTCGATTCAAAGGACAATACCAGGGACAATACGATAAATCTGATGCAGCTTATAAAAAAATGCCGAAATTTCAGCTCAATAGATATTTAACTTTTTGTGAAACCTGTGAAAATGCATAGCTTCATTTTTCTCGACGCATTTGTGAGGAAATATGATGGTAATTCCGCTGTTCTCGAAAATGACAGCAGACCAGGCGCAACGACTTCACAGGATGCTTGAAGATATTATTTACTTACAATTTAAAGTAGGATATTTTGTGATATTTTTTAACAGTTTAATTTTTACATTTTGCAAAATGGCAAAATGGTGTTCATTGTTGAAGCTCACTCTATCGGATGGATTCTAAATTATAAATGTACACCCAAAACGAGGGCCGAATGTCGAGCTAGCTTGCTAGGCCTAACTTCTGACAGCTACTTGCTTTGTGTTGGTTGTGTCAGTTTGCTCACGAGTCACAGTCGTCAAAAACGAAAGAAAAAACGCACAATTAAAACGTTCGAAACCTCACTAGAAGGGGGAAATCATGGGTGCTTTGAAAGCGTCACGTGTGTGATGTGCGAAGCGTCTAAATTTGGAGCTAAATGGAAATTGGTGTCGTTTTGTTTCATCGACCTTGCCTTGCGATTACGAAGCCTTCGAAGGAGGAACAGAAACTAGGCCTAATAAAGAAGTGAGAATTTTTAAGCAAACATGGCGAGGCGTACCAGTGATTCCAGAAATCGGCAGTACACGCAGGTTATGCCAGTGCCCCAGACACCGTCGTCGTCAGAAGTATCTGAGGAAGGTGAGTTGCAAGTGTTTATTTTTGTAGGACTAGGAGACTTTTTGTTGTAGAGCAACATTATTAAAGCAGTTGTGTGAATTGAAAGGGGGAAAAAAAGAGGCAGGTACCATTGTTTATTTGGTCTTATGACGTGCATTTTTCAACAGCTAACGTATTAATATGAAAAAATTCCATACTGGGCCACCACTCATATTCCCTAATATGACCTGAAAAGTACCAAAAGTTGTAAATCTGATGAAGAAACACTGTTTAAGGAGTCAGGGGTGTGAAATCTCAGCTTTAAAGCTGATCTCAGCTTTTTTGTTTTGGATTTCAGCTTTTTTCCCTCGCTTGCTGTGTACAAAAGTATAGGAGATTTCCAAAGTTCAGCTTTATTACGCCTTTTTCAGCTATTTTTATCAGTAGTCACTCACACCCCTGGGAGTGCAAAAATTAATACTTTAAAATGTTCTGTCATGACCCAAAGACTTTGTGCAGGAGCTCTGAGCTGAGTGGTGGCCCAGTATGGATTTTTTCCCAATTGTCCAGATCCACCGATCGAGCCCAACATTCACAATATTATCACAATTAAAGGAAATAGCTTGGTTTTTTTCTCCCATTTCAGAAATTGAGCCGACCTACCAGTGGAAATCTCATTGTAAGTATTCAATGTATTTTTCCCTGTTTCTACTTGTGACCCGCTCAACCAAAAAGGGTATTGAGTTTCATTTTTTGTCACAAATGACGTCTTTAATACCTAAAGTTTCAGGGTTCATTTACAGAAATATTGATTTCGATGAATAAGTGGAGGAAAACGACAATTTTGAGTGCATCGTGCCCAAATCTACACTAGGGCCAGCTATTTCAAAGCGTGTTTTCTCACTTGTGTAATTCAAACTCCAAGGAAGTATTTAATATGCAAATGCGTCATAATCTCCAGAACGGGAGGGGCTATGGAGCTCTATTATCCGCTTTGTTCACAAGTTCCCCCTCACCGGCAAAGAAAGCACAGTTGGGGGTGACCGACCGACGCCATCTTGCCTGACTGCAATTTTGCCGCGATGCGCGGCCGTACCATGCATGTACCACTGCGTGTACATAGTACAAATTCCCTGGTGTACGTGCGTCTCACACGGGGAATGGTGCGCGACAACCAGCTTAATGTCCCACCCATGGGACGTTGTTGCTAGGTAAAAGGGCGCCCTCTTTTGTTGGCGCATGGAACCCATACCAAATGTAAGCTTACGTTGTTGGCTTTCCAACCATGTATAACTCAATTTTTCAAAACTCCTTTTTTTTGCGACGTAGTACCCTTTTGTTGTGGAGCCAGTCACACATTTTCCATTTTTCTAAATATATTTTCAAACTTGCTTTTTAAGTAGTTTTGCTTTTGACTTTGTCTTAAATTTTTATTTTGGAATAATGTTGAACTTTGGTGATTACATTGTGTTTACATTTTATTACATTGTATTATATCATTGGTGAATCCATTTCACATGAAGTGTTTGGGCGGTTTGGGACAGTACAAGGATTGACAAGAAGGGCAGTTTTGGGCGGTACAGAGACATAAATATGTTAATATGTTGCTCAACAACAAAATGGGGGATGGGTATACGTATGTAGCCTTTGCTGATTGGGCTAGGTGGCCACATCATCCCAGTTGCAGTGTGATAATTTTTATTCGTTCTACCTATGAATCTGGATTTCTGTGCAGATTTGTTGGTCGTTTGTATTTAAAATATCAACACAACAGTTGTCATCATCACATGGTAAGATGTGTAGGCCATGTAAGAAAAATGTTGTGTTTCCTATTCTAATTGGGCAACAGTCATTTTCTGAGGTGGCACCGGGCTCGCGCGAGTCACTCAGGTAGTACGCACGCACTCTGGGCTCGTTCGACCACCAGAGTTACCAAAGTGCATGAGTGCCTTGTCTTTAAGAATGCGTGCAGCAACGCTTCAGCATGGTACCACTGTATTAAGGCCAAAAAAAATAAGTCTCCGGTTTCTGGTATGGAGCTTGCCCAAAAAGTGGTGCGGCGACGCATTTTTTTTTTTTTTTTTTACCTGATTTTTTTTGCCTCAAATGTCGGCTGATGACTGCAAATGGTGCCCGACTAAACTTAGTGCAAATATATGGGAGTCCAGAGAGGCCACATAAAGCTTATTCTCGATCATAACCCCACCTAAAAACGTGTTAAAATTGTGCAGCAGCAGGATTCCAGTCAAACCAGTGAGTTTGGCGGTTTTGAGACATTATCTTTCATTGAAAAAAAAACTTTTTCATTTTGCTGACGCGCATGGCTACGGCGACGCGCGCGCATACCAGAAACCGGAGACTTTTTTTTTTTGGCCTAATGGCTTGTATTTAACTCTGGACGCTGGATTCCGCTATAACATTGAACAAGTACCAAGTGGTACAACCAACGGCAGCCAGGTACTAGCAGCGAGGCCGGGTAATGTGTGAAGACGGCTTTACGGCACTGTCCGTGTGCCCGGGCCGTACCGGTACCTCGAGAGTACAGAAAATGAAAAGGAATGGGGCGTGGTCTAATACCGGTACATGCAAAAAGTATGCAAATTAGCAGCGAAGCCTATAAATAGTGCAGCAAATGCAATCTCAGAATGAACAGTTGCGCAACAGTGTTTTTTCCTCCTTTTCTCAATTTGTTCGAATAAAAAGATTAAGGTTCTGCACGATTTTCTAGTTTTGGTTCAGGATGTGACGTTTACATTTAGACGTTTAAATAAAAACTATTCTCCGTTTACACATTTTCACAAAGATGAAAAAAATACTGAAATTGCTCAATCCGTTCAATGAATATCACCAAAGAATATCGCTTTCCACTCATTATTATTTTTGATGCTACATATTTTATTAAAATATGAAATATATTTTTTTGGGTTTGGGTTCCGCTATTTTTGACTCACCCTATACATGTTCAAAATACAGGTATTTTACTGTTTTTCATATTTTGTTGCCTAATCTGGGGAGCTTCTATGGGGAAAATCCTGTTTCACTATCGCTGAAATTCTGGTAATAGCAAGCATTGTGCAGGCTTTTCACATGCTTGACGACATTTGTCAAAACACAATGGGACCCGACTCCGAAAAATCGTGGGAACTTCCATGTACCCAATTGTCCAAACTACAACAATTCCAGTTTGGACACGGATGGCTGACATTTATGAATCTCAGGCAAAGAGGTACATTAACATCCAACACAAAAAGAATTTTTTTTATATTGATACTTAAAAAAAAAAAATGGAGTGTGAAAAAACGAGGGTTATAAAATTGAGGTTCCTGTATGAAATGAGGAAGTTGTATTCATAAGAACACAATAAACATACAATTGATAGTTTTATTCGATTTTAAAAAACCCTACCTACCCACCCTATTTTCGAATGCCATGTAATTGGAAGCAGAACTATTTGGGGGGGGGGGGGGGGGCCCTAACCAACATGGCTTCTAATTCATGCTAGTAAAACTGTGAGTGACTTGTAAAAAAAAAAAAGATGGGTCATATTCCAGTAATGGGTTGTCCTAGGTCACTAATTCCCAGTCGACAATGTGACGGCAGTATAAACAAACGCTTGCTTATTTTCCTCCATCTAGGGATTAGTTCTCCACGGGTCGTCGCGGCAACCATCTGCCGACCTGCGTATCCTCTTCCCTTTTTGTTTTTAATCAAGATGTCATGTTTGATATCAATCAAAAAGGCTTAGAATAACACCATTTGGAGGGCCGGAATTTTTGGGTCGTTGGTAGAAATTGTTTGTGTTCATTATAGCCCGTGGACCATGTAGTGTCATTACAGAAAGGGGGATGTATACGTCATGGTAGATGAATTTGTGTAATTTGTTAATGCACATCATGGTTTTAGAGGAAGTAAAGGAATTAATGGTTGCAAGGCGTTGGCAAATTTCGATTTTATTTTTTCTCTGGCCCGAATCGAGTTTCGATTTTAATCAGTCAGATCATTGATTAATTTGATTTCAGCTGCCACAATATTCAGATGATATTTTTAGCGTACTCGATCCAAATTTGCTCCATTGTGTTTT